AAAACATCAAAGCATCACTTTCGTAGAAGCTTTAATTATTGTGGAAACTTGCATATGAACGACTTAACAATGAAAAAAAAGGCATCTGTGAATAAAGGTCGTATTTACTCCTTTGGAAATATATGTGTGAATCGCATTTACACTATATTTCAGAATGTATAAAAATGACCCACAAACAAATTTTGTATGTCACTACTCGACGAACAGAAGACACTAAAATACAATTAGCTGGAATTTTTATGCAATCACTCAGACTTGAAAATGGGCGAAGCTGCTCTCATCACTCAAACAACTCTCAACTTGTTCCCAAGAATCCATTACTGACGGGCTTTACATGAATCAACATGATGTTAATGCAGGATATTTCAAGGGTGATAAAACGCTCTTAATGTGCCTGGATTCATGGGAAGTTTTATGTACAGACTTCACAGATGGTTCCAACTTACATGTGATTATAATGGGTGAAATAAAGGCATTGTACACTTGTTTCAAAGACGATATCCTGCATTGTCTGATAACCCGAACAACTAGATTTTTGTCTCTTTGACAGCTCATTTGACCAATCTGAAAAGTGTAAATGTTGGGCTATCAAAATCATGATAGTGTTGAATGAGAGCAAATTGTACGATCCGGCGTGGTGACAATTTGGTGTAATGATTTTCCATATTTACCGCTATCAATACTTTGGCAGCAGTTGGTCATTATCTTCAATGCATTCCTTCTGGCCGCATCTTTTCTAAAAAGACATAGATATACCCATACATACAGAATGGCAATATTAATCTAGCTCATTTAAGAAAATTGTGACAAACACTTTATTTCCTATTCCATCTTATAATCAAGTTAGAGTCAGCAGATTTATATGGTTGTTTATCGATTGGTAAGACAGAAAGATTGTGGTACAGATATGTTTGCTTATTCCCTATTGTATCTTTTTATAACGGCAAGTTGTTGTAGGGCATCCTTCATAATTAATATACATTTATTTTATGATCCAGACAGTATATTCGTTCGTTTGTTACAGAATTTATGCGCGAAGCTACACAAATGCTATCTGCACGTAGTAGTCCCTAATTTTGAGCTGATAATCTAGAAAGGACGGCAGATAGACAAATAACACTAACTGCCAACTCTTCGGATCCTCTTTTCTGACCAAACAGGAAGATTTTACGGTCACTCTTATGGCGCACCCGCGGCCCAAAAGTGCGGAGCACGTTTCTGCGGCAAGGGGCTCGATCCCCATGCCGGACATAGCGCAGGTAGCCCATTGTGCAGCTTAACGCTAAAAAAACTAATAAACAAACAGTTTGTTTGTAATTAAGCATAAAGCTACACAATGGGCTATCTGTGCTCTGCCCACCACGGGTATCGAAAACCGGGTTTTTGCCTTGTAAGTCCGCAGACATACCGCTGTGTCACTGGGGGGGGGGGCTAAACAAACAGATTTGCACTTATATCACAAGGCATTTTTAGTTTTAACGGTTTGTAACTAGTGTCTAGTCTACAATAATAATTATGATATATATCTATAAAATGATTATTATTATGTTTTAAACAGAGTTAATAAAAATAATACATTACTAAAACTTTTAAAATGACAAAATTAGTCGACCAATAAAGTAGAAGTATAATACCATAAATCAAGTTTTAAAAATATAGGAAAATAAATATAACCAATCAGACAAACAACAGACGAACATCAATAATAAATATAGAAATGAAAAAGAATAGTAGAATTTGCTCAAAATACAAAAAAACAAACAAACATCATGGCAATAAATATGAGGGTACAAAAATAATACGATTAAAATGATAAACTATAAATGCAATCAAGATTTGATAAATGATAAATAAATCATAGAGTGAAATAAAGTTTTAACATTTTCTTTTATTTTTCCATTACCAACCGGTCCTCTGGTGGGTTAGTGGCAAGGTGAAGAACTTCAGGAGTACGATTTCATGTGGTGTACAGAGCGCAAATAACTCATTG